TGCACCACTACAATCACAAAAGTTTGATGCTACTCTAATGACACATTTTAATATGTTGTCAGCAGAAGTAGTCTTTCCCTTTATCTCCCCTCCTTTTATATGAGGCCTTCAATCTCAGTCCCTTTTTATATCAACAGCTCCCCAGAGAATGCAAAACCAGTTTTATGCCACTTTAGACCGGATATGGATAATGTTACAACTTATATAAAGAAGTGCATTATTCCGATTCTGGGTAGTGTCGATGACATTAAAAGCTCCAAATGTGACTTCTTCTAAAAAGAGTCTTCTTCTTTATGCTTCCCTAAAAGGATATTTAAAAGACAAATAGTGCTGTGGCTTCCCTCCCTACTCCCAGAGCCCTCCTAGACAGCTGTGCCGATGAATCTCCCTCCCCAGTCAAGATCACACATCTTCTAAAAGCCAAAGTGAAAGTAACCAGTTTGGTAAGCCAGTTAAGGGGAAGGAAAATCACCCATTTCCCCCTCCCTCGAAGCTGCACACTTCTGCATGAGTTAGCAGGAAACACAGGAAAGCTGAATGCAAGCAGTCAGCTCAGCTTCCAAAAATGAACAAGGGCTATTCTGCACAGTAGCAGATTTGAAAGTGTACATTATGGCAAAGTGAGGGCTTTAATTAAAATTAGACTGAGACGGTAAGTCTTGGACTTCCTACCTCTGCATGAAGAAAAGGGATTTCAAAAAGTCAAAGGTTAAAAAAAAGAAGTTATTTTCACCTCTCTTTGTGTGTGCATTGCTGAGAGAAGAGTGCCAGCAAATTGCCATGCAGAATACCCCCTAAAGTGTTAAACATGTTTAGGACAAAGCAGTCACGTGACTAAGGTATGGTCAAAGTTATGGTTCTTGGCTACATGTGAAATCAGTTACCCACTCCCAATACTCTAGCTCACTACAATAGGTTATGGAGGAGTTACAACAGTGAGAGGTGCGGGAAAGAGAAGTCATAATGTAAATTCAGATACTTATGTTAGAAAGAACACATTTTTTCAACTCCTTACTTTAGACTCAATGATTTATTGACTAATCAAATTGTTCTTCTTTTCACTTACATAGACTTGTTTGAGTGTGCTCATTAGCCAGCTTCTTAGATATAACACTTTGTTATTTTATCTCTGCTAAATTGCTATCAAAATCATCTGGGGACATGATTATTACTGACTTTGCTGTGGGATCAATGCAGTGACTTACTCAGGAATTCAAGCAAAGCACTTTGGAATAATCACACCTACAACCCTGTGTTATGCGAGTGATTGCCAAAGAAGAAAAAGAGTAGGCATGTGTATTCCAACATACTTTGCTAGAATTTACGATTGAAGCATTACATTGATCTCACGACATCAACGCTATAACTACGGATTTGGTTGTAAGTTAAACATGCAAAGGATTTCAAGTTCTCCTGTGGAACTCGGGTCTATTATTTTAGAATCCGAACACACAATTATCATCTGGCCACATTCCCAAGTTAATCTAGGTGCATGCTACCAGGCACATCGAAAGATGAGGTGGAAGTGAATCCCAACTCTCCATCTTATTTATGCAGAGGCTCAAGGTCTAATGCACTTTCTAAAGTCTCTGAAAGAACAAGGGTTATGACAGGTCATGGTGGGTCAGGGACTAGGTCTGTCATCTTGGCAGGCCAAAGGAGTGCAAATGAGAGCAGCAAAAACTCCACTGCCAAGAGCAGGGAATGCAAAGATCAGGTTATCCCTGCACAGCAACTGCTGCTTGGTATTCATTCATTGGTGTATGCAGACGCTCTACTTTTATAATGGATTGGCTCTGAAAGGCAACCTACCGTTACTTGTTACTTCTCGACACCTCTGTCTGCTCCTGAATAAACCCCATCTTTTGCCAGGATGGGAAGAACAAGAGAATCTAATTGACCTCCCCAAACATGCAGCATGTCAGCCATATTTGTGACCTAGGTCTATAAGAAGCTGCTTGAGTCAGACTATTTGGCAATGTAGCCCAACATTATCAAATGACTGGTAGAGACGCTCCAGAGTCTTTTGAAAAAACAAAACACCTGGAGATGGCAGGTGGCCCTCACAACACACAAGAACCATCACCTGAACAAACTCTCTAGCTTGTAGCCATGCCCCTGCAAACACATACACACAAGCACACTTTCCAGTGCAGCAAGATCCAGAATACCCAAGACCAGAGGGTGCACCTCAAAACAAAAACTCAGAGTCAAGCAGCAGTAACTGCACTCTCTTCTGCCAAGTAGCATTCCATATTATTCCCCAGTGCCACAATTTGCAAACGTACAGTGGTACCTCTGGTTACGAACACTTCTGGTTACGAACTCCGCTAACCCAGAAGTAGCTGCTCCTGCTTGCAAACTTTGCCCCAGGTGTGAACAGAAATCGTGCGCCAGAGGCGCGCACGCAGCAGGAGGCCCATTAGTGAAAACACGCCTCAGGATAAGAACAGTTTCAGCTTAAGATTGGACCTCTGGAACGAATTACGTTCCTAACCAGAGGTACCACTGTAGAGTGAAACTCTGTGGGTAAAAGCCTCAGCGCCCTAGGACTTGCCAATCGAAAGGTCGGCGGTTCGAATCCCCGCGGCGGGGTGCGCTCCCGTCGCTCGGTCCCAGCGCCTGCCAACCTAGCAGTTCGAAAGCACCCCCGGGTGCAAGTAGATAAATAGGGACCGCTTACTAGCGGGAAGGTAAACAGCGTTCTGTGTGCTGCGCTGGCTCGCCAGATGCAGCTTGTCACGCTGGCCACGTGACCCGGAAGTGTCTTTGGACAGCGCTGGCTCCCGGCTTCTAGAGTGAGATGAGCGCACAACCCTAGAGTCTGTCAAGACTGGCCCGTACTGGCAGGGGTACCTTTACCTAACCATTTTTTTTTCTACCATTGTGACAACAAAATACTTTAAAAAATGGCAGTGGCTCACAAACACAGGCCTTTAGCAGCAGCCATCAACCCCTCCTGCTGCTTGGGCCCTATGAAACAGGCAGAAGCCTTGTGAGAAAAGTGAGGTCCTTTCTCACTTTGTGCTGGAGTATAGAGTTAAGAAACAGCACATATATATTCCACTGCTTGGAAGGACTTCTGCAGTTTCTAGCATTCTCAAAACCCGGGAGCAAATAAGAGCTCAGGGAAAGGGATCTGTGTATCAAAGGATGTCCTGCAGGAATACAGATCTGTAATAGAAAACTACCAAAGTAGTGTATGTGGAACATGGGAAACAGTCTAATACCAGGTCAAGCTACTTATTTATCTAACCCAATGCTCTCCTCGCAGGCTGGTGATGGCTCTCACGCAGAGGCCTTTCATATCACCCACTCTCACATCTTTTTATTTGGAAGGACTGAACTAGAGACCATCTGCATGCAAGCAAGGGTTCTATTACTGAACTACGGTCTCTCCCACCCTAGCGTAGCCAAATATACAATACTTTGCAAGTTAAAACTAACCCTTTTCAATTAAACTGAAATGAAATTACACTGGATTTAGATTACATTTCTTACCACTTTTTTTTTAAGTCTCTGGGCAACTTACAAATAAAAAAAAAATGTATAATGCATTTAAAATATAGATATGCCAAATTACAGCAACCCGTACAACTGCTAATAACACCACCAAGGCAATTATAAATTAACTAATGCCTATAAAATAAAACAACCAAACAAACAAACCAAACCAATCAAAATGCCAATAACCATCTAGTGCCATTGGATTCTAAGAACTGTGTGAAGAAGAAAACTCATGGATGAGGACTTTCCGGTTCCCTCCCTCACACAATCCTTCACATGACCCGAAAAGCTACTCCAGAGAGTCCAAAAAGCATCCTTGACAGCACAGAATGGGGCACAGAGGTCTGCCAAAGGAGTGGGAACCTGCTCTGCTTGCACAAAGTGCCTCTGCCCTATTTTGAGCTACCTTCCAGATTTTTCAGGGGAGTTGCAGAGAAGAGGGAGGAGGGTTCAAGGAAACGCCTTTTCTGCAAGCTTCCTTAGGCTTCTGGTTCTCATGATGCCAGCAGAAAAAAGTAACTAAATACTGAAACTGTACAGGACAATGGTGAGCAGAAAGTATAGCTCCATGTAACATGAAAATAAAAAAAAACATTTTTGCCCTAGCAGGGAAATTTTTTATATAAACTTTGAACGGAAGGCATGTTCTACTTTAAACATTTTCAATCCAGCAAGTATTCCACAACCAACTCACAAGAAGATCACCCTTAGTCCCATGCCTCTTGTTTCCAAGAAAAATAAAAGAAACGGTAAAAAAACGAAACAAAAAACCTTCCTGCAAAGACTACAAGTTACTTTAGAAACTAGTTTCTGCACCACTTTCTTGTACTTGGTACTGTGGGCAAGTATTAGCCAATATTGAAGGAGCTCCATGCCAGCAAACCTCTGAATGGCCTAAGAAGTATCTCAAAAAAATATTTTGCAGCAGCTGGCCGATAACGTAAAATGAACACTTTTTAAACTTCTTCAGGCTAAGACAAAATAAATCCATTTGCAAATTCAGCTTTTTCACATGCAATATTGCTGGTGTTCTCTCCAAGGACACACTACACACCAGTATCCAAATAAGTAAACAGAATGTTACAGGACAGAAGGGGAAAGAAGGCTATTTATCAAGTCCACTATGTGACATTTGCCTGAAGTTTACTGTTCCTGGCAACCCTGAAATCAATGAGTAAAATAACGTTCTTAACAATTAATTGTTTTAGATGTTTTTACCTGTCTTAGAATGCTTTTTTAAAAATAATAATAATAATAATGTGGATGTGTTTGCTCCTTGAGCTGCTTTGTTCATCATCATCATCATCATCACCACCATCATTATCACCATCACCATCGAGGTCCCAGCCCAGATTTTGATATTTTTTTCAAATCATCTCCATCAATTCACAATGAAGTTATGCTTATACTTTAAATGGATGATTAAAAACAAGAAACGTTTCCTTTTCTTATACAAGAGATTGCAATAAAATTGTAAGAGAAGATGTACTTACTACTGTGCACAATCGATCAACTGATATTCATTAGATCTCTCGTAGCAGGCTTTCACACCTTCATCTTGCCAAAGTGTTTTTGTATGTTCATAGAACTCCTGGAAGCAAACATAAAGGGAGCAACAAGTCAGCAGGGACAAGGCCCCCCCAGAGGCAAACAAAAAAAGGCAACACGCTTTTACTTAATGAACAAGCAACCAAATAAAACAGCCGAAGTCCTAAGAAGCTTTCTGACTACAAGCATGCTGCTGCATTAACGGATATCCTCAATCTTCACTTAATTAGGTTCAGCACACAGAGCCTGCCACACATTACAAAAAGGATTAAAATACATTCAAATGTCTCAGAAAGCAAAGAATGAACATTCGTATTTCCGCCAATGTAGAAGTGTGCTTCACCCAGTACGCTGAATGCTTATGTAAAGTATAGACTACTATGTGTAGTTGCTAACATTTTTATAAAGGACGCAGAAATAATTTTTCTATAAGAATGGTTATAACTTGCTTTAAGGAAAGCCTTTCTGCCCTTATTCAAATAATTTGCTGTATTGAAACCCAATAGAAGAATTTCATTTTAAAAAATCATACAGAAGAATGGTGCACTTGACTTGTGTATAAACTGATATATACAGTCATGCCTTGGTTTTCGAACAGCTTAGTTCATGAACAACTCAGAACAAAACGTTGCAAATCTGGAAGTAGGTGTTCCGGTTTGCAAACTTTGCCTCGGAAGCCAAACGTTCGGCGCGGCTTCCAATTGGCTGCAGGACGCTCCTGCAGCCAATTGGAAGCTGTGCCTTCGTTTCTGAACATTTCGGAAGTCGAACGGACTTCCAGAACGCATTCTGTTTGAAAACCAAGGTACAACTGTAGTTGGGATAGTGCAATGTTGCTGGAGGTCACAGGATTGAGGATGTCACAGAAGTGCCACTCATTCAGAGTGGCGGACAGAGCTCAGCCCCAAATGATCACAGTATGCCTCATTCTCTTCAGTGTCACAGAATGCTGTAAGACCTAGAACTGCGCATTAATGGCCTTTCGACATTCTCCATCCTATTTGGGGGCAGGAAAATTGGGCAGATCATTCCACCAAATTTCTCCAGGGAGAGATAAATTTTCCAACTGTCTCTTGGGAGTGTGCTCATCTTTAGCATTAACGGTGCTTCTTTCTCCCCCTTCCTCCCCACAAGGATTTGTGGTTTTTTGCTGTTGCTGCAAGTGGCAACAGGAGCCTGGTCACCATTTTGCACCCTACCCCGCCCCCCCAAAGGAAAATTTCTCTCTCCCTGGAGAAATTTGGTGGAATGATCTGCCCAATTTTCCTGCCCCCAAACCATTTATTAAAAATCTTGCAAAGTGGCTGTGTGTGTGTGTGTGTGTGTGTGTAGGGGAGAAAGAGAGAAGTGAGAGAAATTCTAATCAAAAAATGTCTTCTGAGCATTTTCATTTCATCTTCAGAATGTACAGAACATTCTCTGACGCCGAGATTTGGGTAGCTACATCAGACTCATGTGCAAGGCCGATGCAACAAATCCAATTTCTTAGAATGCATCAAATATACCTTTTCAACCTTTTAAAATGTCTAAAGAATTTTCATTTAGGTTCATGTTTTGCATTATGCTGTAACTCTGCATGATTGAGCGAGCTAAGCCTGACTAGCTCTTTCTTCTCCTTATTCAGATAAACTTTTGTTATGTGTTCAAATGAAGTAAAGCACCAACTTTTGTCTCAGGACCAAATATAATTTTGAGCTCACCAAAAGTTAATGAGTAGCTAATCTTTTCAGTATTTATGGGTTATACATTGTCCAAATATAGAACAGAACATTAAATAACTGGGCTTGACCAATCACTTGGGAGAACTACACAAAGGAGAGACCTTGGGAGATCTTACAAAAAAAGTATTTTGGAAACTGTCAAACTACTTAAGAGATTTCTAAAGAGCTTAGTACGAATCACTTGTGTTGACTTGTTTTGGAATCCATTTGAGTTGGTGAATACAGATGTACTGGATTTTCAGGTTCCAAATACAAGAGAGATCTCTGGAAATGAACTGAAGAAAAACACAGCACAGTTGCATGATGTTTCGAACATCTCACAGCCCATAACCAACTTAGCAAAGGATTTGAGAAACTGATTTTTTTACCTCTGCAACAACAGCAGTCCTCTATTTAGAATTTGTTATATTCTCCGGATAGCCCAGGGAAAACATACTTTTGCTGATCTTTAACCTCGCTTTAGTGTTATATCTGTTTTAACACTACCTAAGTGCCTACTTGAACGTGCAGCTGAACTTTCAAAAAGCTTTAGTCAAAGTATCTCACGAAAAGCTCCTAAGTAAGCTTAGCCATCAAGGAGTAAGAGGGGAGGTCTTGTGGATCACAAATTGTTTAAGTTGCAGAAACAAAGAGTGGGAATAAATGGACATTTCCCCAAATGGTGGAGTCCCCCAAGGATTGGTATTGGGACCTATGCTTTTTAACTTGACACCTGAAGGCAGCCCTGTGTAGGGAAGTTTTTAATGTTTAATGCTGTTGTGTTTTTGATATTCAGTTGGCAGCCGCCCAGAGTGGCTGGATAAATCCAGTCAGATGGGTGGGGTATAAATAAATTATTATTAATTATTATTATTATTATTACAAGTGAGCAGTGAGGTGGACATATTTGCTGATGATACTAAATAGTTCAGGGTTATTAAAACCAAAGGACTGCGAAGAGCTCCAAGAGGACCTAAACTGAGTGAATGGGCAATAAAATGAAAAATGCAATTCAATGTAAGAAAGCGACGCACGTTGGGGCAAAAAAATCTTCATTTTACACACACACACACACGCGCGCACACACACACACACACACACACACTTATGGGGCCTGGATTTATGGTGATGGACCAAGAATGAGACCTGGGGGTCAAAGAAGATAGTTTGATGAAGCTGTTGACCCAGCTGTGCAAAAGACAAATTCTATAATAGGGATCATTAGGAAAGGAATTGAAAATTATACTGCAGGTATCACAATGCCATTATATAAATCTACACGGCAATCACATTTGGAATACTGCGCACAGTTCTGGTTGCCTCATTAGAGATGGAAAAGGCTCAGAAAAGGGCAACCAAAATGACTGAGTGGATGACACAAGACCCCTATGGAGAAAATTTGCTGTCTTTGGGACTTTCTACTTTAGAGAAAAGGCGAGTAAGAGGTGACATGGTAGAAGTTCATAAAATTATGCATGGCATGGGAAAAGTGCTGCAATGTTCTACCTTGAGCCGTTTCTACCCACAAGTGGCAAAGAAAAGAAAGGGAAGGAATAAGGAGGAGGATTAGGAAATCCCATGGACTGTAGCAACAGTTTTACTTTGACCAGTACACTCTACTGGGGAATGATTCATTTAATTGACTGAGAATGAGAGCTGTAAGTTTGAGGTTCACAGCAAAATGTTTGATCCATGAGAACTTGACTTTGCTTGATGTTACCTTATAACTAACCTGAACTACACCCTACTTACACTATCTTTTTAATAGGGTTATTAACTTTCCACGTGGGATGGAAAAAGAATCCAAGTCCACACTGCTTGAACTTCTTAACTGAGAAAGCAAAACCAGGACCCACAATCAATACTAACTTTTAGATTAGTGGGCTATCAGCAAATAACTGAGAAATGAGCAACATTAATTGTAGTTTGAGCAGGGAATGTTTCACCGGGATCACACTCCACTTCCACACTAATTTAAACGCGCAGTTTGGATTGTCCCCTGCCCTCTATAAAGTTGTGGCTTTACATTATTATCATCCGTTTATTAATTGCCTTCTATACAGTATAGCCGTCTTAAAGCGATGTGTGATAAAAACAATTAAAGACACAAAACCGCCCGAAAAATCTTTTAAAATAAAACTGAAACGATACAAAACGATGCTTTAGCTGATATTTCTGCATTGTGGGGGGTTGGACTAGATGACCCTTGGGTCCCTTCTAACCCTACGATTCTATGATTCTGTGAAAATCATGGCAAAGAGTGGGAAAGGCTGTTGCAATAAAAACGCCTTCAATTGTTTCTGGAAAGTAAAAATAGTGGGTGCCTGCTATATCTTGATAGGAATGCTATTCTACAGAACATGGGCAGCCACACTAAAAGCACTGCTCTGAGTTACTGCAGAGTGAGCTTCTAAGATCTCTGGAACTTGCAGGAGAAGGTCCTCAGCTGTCTAGAGCATTATATGTTATTACTAACACCTTGAACTTGACTTGCAGCACCTCTACTCTTCCTGCAGCCACAACACATACCAGCAGAAGAGAAGATTAAGCAGGAGCATGGCACTAACTGATCAGCGTCAGCTTTTGCACTTTTTACATTTGCTGTATTGCTAAAAAGAACCGGTGCAAAGTTGCAAAGGAAAAGAAAATGCAGCATTCAGATTTCCGAGAGTTACTGCTGGTAACAATAAAGGCTTCAAAAGGAAATCGGAGGGAAAGACTTGCATTTGAGAAACTGACAATACTTCTCAAGTGAACTGCCAAGAAAAATGAAATAACTTCAAATAACACAAAATAGGGATTTTACAAAGCTAAGCAGCTAGCTCACTACCCAAAGCCAGCAATTTCTGGATTTTAGTTTGACCAAGGGTTAGTTAACACAGGGAGCTTATGAACAAGCCCCTGCATATACAAAGGCCTTTGAGAGGCTGCAGAAGCAGCAATTGATATAACTAGCTCCAGAGTCCGTTCCAGCCTTCTCAGCTGTTCACTGTCCTCATCAGTGCCTGGGTTCTTCAGCAGATAAGAAAGGAGGAGTACGTCACAGAAACTTCCATGTTTGCCCAGTCTGCTGAAGTCAGACAGGCCTGGGAGAGTGAGGTTCGAGCAATGTTGGAGGTGGTGTTCAAGAGGGCTGTAATGGGGCTCTCCAGTTGGCGGTAGAAAATGGTGAAGAGTCAGTAGCTGCTACTGCTACCCAGAAGTGTATTCCTGCCCACAGATCTCTGTGTGAGCTGGCTGGCCCCAAGTATCACATTTATCTTTGTAGAGGTTTACTACAGTTGGTATGGGAACACCAAGCACATTATTTCTACATCCTGCACACTGCCTCATACTCTGCTGG